ACAAATAACCCTACTGTTAAAATTCTGTCAGGAGGACATCTGAGTTCCTCCTCTTCTTCCAAAAGGCTTTGTACTGTTTGATTTAGAATGTCTTCAGACAGAGAGTATCCATATTAGTGCACAGAGCACCTGGCTGTGTGGCTCTGCAAATATTTTGAAGGACAGGATTAGAATCTGAAACGGGTTTCAATAAATTTGCATGGACATGGTCTGGAAAATGGGATGCAATTCAGTAAGAATAAGTGCTAGGTTCTACAATTACATACAAATAAGCAATATCTGTCTGCAGAGTGGGTAACAGTTCTATCAGTAACGTTCCTACAGGGAAAGGTCTGAGAGTTGCAATGGATCCCAAGCTATGCACAAGTCAACAATGCCATCTTGCTGTGAGAAGGGCAAAGACCACACCGAGGTGAATAAACAGAACAGCCTGCTAAATACGTGCACTTATTTCCCATTCAAAGCTGGCAGGGCCTCAGATGAAGTGTTATGTCCAGTTATGGATACTGCACGGCAAGAAAAATAGGGGCCAAACAGGAGAGTTTTAAGGAGAGCACCAAGGAGCATCAGAGGTGTAGAAAACTTGACTGGTGGGAAAGGCTGAAAGATGGGTTTGAGTCTGTTTGATCTAGCGTTGAGAGACAGAGTAACCTTCTGTAAAGAGCTAAAGGGACACCATCATCTCTTAGGCTAGCCCAAAAAATCACGAGTAAACTGATTTTCTGCGAGAGAGATTCAGGCTAACGGACAGGAAACGTCAGGCAGGTTAGTCAAGGCAAAGCACTGAAGTAGATGGCCAGGAAACTTCCAGCCCTGGAATGTTTTAGGGTAGGTTACGCTAACAGTTTTCTCTAAAGGTGTAGGTATACTTGATTTATTGGTTTTTAGCATTAGAGAGGGAGAAGTAGATGACAACTGATGGTTACTTGCACGCTGTTCTGTGACTTCTACCCCATGATCCTGTGACTACGATCTTGGGGAACTGAGAGTAGCCTGAATTACCCAGTAATGTTGTGTAAAGTCACCATGAAATGTACAGCATCCTTTATGCCGAAAAACAGGTGGCGAAACATCTGCCAGTTTTTCCCTATTTTCCCCCATATTTCTAATCCTTGAAAACAAGAATATGGGATGATACCAGGAGTAGTGTTCTCTGTTACCTCTGAGTGCAACCCAAAACTGTTTTCATTTTACAACTACTGGCAAGAGTGTAGGTCATTGTCACACAAGCTTTTTTGGGGAGGGGATGACATCAAAGAGTCCATTGTTGTGTTGTTTTTCAAAATGTTCCAGGAGCTTCAGACATTTCTTAAGTCATTCATCTTTTCTAGTGTCAGAACAGTTTCACTACAGGGCAGTGCAAAGAGGATTACACGTTTTGACTGCCATCATTCCTTCCTGTCCCTTTCTCAAGTCAGTGCTTTACTTACCTTTTGTGCTCTTTTAATGCTTACAGGTAAAATAGCTGGTGCAAGTTCAGTAGTTATTTCACGCCAGTCTGCTTCACATTATCCATTTATCATCACCCTGACATTGTGCACAAATTAGCATAATGACTCAGCAAAATGAATAAAGTTAGGAAGGTTGTTCTTCAAGGGTTAATAAAGATGAATGAAACAAGATAGCATATTCAAAGAAAATAAGCTCATCTTTCCACTTCAGAATCCATAAACTTCCAAAATCTTAAAAATCAGTGGTAGAAAGCGCTTTTTAAAAAACGTTTTGTTACAACTGAAATCTGTGGTCTCATTTTTTCTTAGTTCTTTTAAAACTAATTCATGTTTCATTCTGTAGGTGGAAATGGAAGAATCATCTTCGCAAACACGAGTGATGTCAAATGCTCTTGCTTTCCCAAGTTTGAACGTCTCCTGTCCCAATGGACTAGTATTAACTTTCCTTGGCGAACGTTTTGGAGGTTAGTTTCCTGAACCACAGCAAAAAGGAATTTTTAAAGAAGTTAAAATTACAGAAGAAAATTATTTCTGCCTTGATGGGTTTAGATGTAACAGTACGAATTTTTTAATGTCTCAGATTGCTAAGTCTGTCATAATATCTATTTAACAGTATTTGCAACATAAATAATATGTTTTAATTCAAACAAATGTAAAATCTAGCGTTGCAAGTTGTCGGACATAACAGTTTGGGGGCAGGAAAAAAGCAACCCTAAAAAGCACTTGAGTGTCCTGTTGGATAATCAGTTGAATACGCATGTATGTTGGAATGCTAAAGAAAAATGAGCAAATTCTTGAATCTTGGGTGATAACCAGCAGATTGTTACGTTACGTATATCCGCACCTCGTCTGGAATCGTAGGTGCTGTTCTTAAGGCCACAA